TGGCGGGCGAAGAGATCGGGAGTCAGAGGTGTGGGCTGCCGCTACCCTTGAAGCTGGGTCTTCTCCCTGTCCGGTCAGCCTCCCCATCCCCCTGGGGATGTGGGGGCTGGGGTAGGGTGTCCATGCAGGGGGATTGGAAGAGCTCCCCATGGCCGCTTCCTCTTCCTTCTTTGCAGTCCGAGCTCCTGTCAGGCACTCTCCTCAGAACCCCGGGAACTTGGCTCCGGCCACCCATCCCCTGCTGCGCGTGCAGCCTCCTGCTGGTCTGTCAATATGCAAATTGGTTGTTACTGTGACACCGTTAGGACCAATTAGCATATTACCTCTTTATATATATATATAGATGTATATAATGTGCATGTGTGTGCATTTCCTCAATAAATTTTACAAGTGTGGTATCAGTGTGCACAATATCTTACATCCTTTTTTTTGCAAACCTATTAATCTAAATTTATCTTGCTCACACAATATGATCAGCAAATAAGTATATGATAAAAACATAGTACAAAAAAAGAAAATTTAAAAACAAGTGAATGAATTTAGCTGTACTAACTAGTTTTGATGATGTCCTAGAATTTGCAGATATAATATGTAGATAGTAGATACAAATAACTAAGGTTTGATATAAATCAGCTATGGTTTGATTACTCAGATATAACTTAGATATATGAGAGATTATGAAGATGGAGATATGCCAGACCACTAGAGATAAACACATCTTGAACCATTTTTCAAAGCCTGCGGAAAAGATGATGGAAACTAAAGAAGAGCAATTTTGATGTCAATCTCCAGGATATTCAGAGAATAGATATTAATATGAAGGATTTGGGAATACTTAAGAAACACTAACCACTCTAAGCCAGTGTGAGTTTACTAGGAATAAGTCATGTTAAACTCTTCTAATTTTCTTCTTTTTGAGGATATTATACTAGTATTTAGCTGACATATACAATGTAAACTCCATAAGGACAGGGACCTACTTTTATAACTGCTATACACCCAGAGCCAAGAACAATGTCAGGCATATATAAGAGACTCAATATTTGTTGAAAGATTACTAAATTAATCAAGGAATTTGGTGTTTCTTATAAAATTATTGTGGCCTTAATGGAGAAATAAAGACCAGGTTTTGCTACAGTTGAATAAAGTTACAGCTGAATAAAACATAACCATAAAAAAAAAAAATTAAGAGATGCCACAGAGTAATCTCATTGGTCCTTATCTAGTTAATTCTATTAGCAATTTTGACAACAAAAGAGAAGGCCAATTAAATTTGTAGATAATACCTGCTACCTAATAGACTAGATGCTAGAATTACATTCAAAATTATACTAATAGATAGACCTATTATCTACATATATAATAGCCTAAGCGACCGTTACGATGGAACAACTGGAATGACCAAAACGATGCACATTGAGCAGGCAGGCAGGTGAGCGGTTAGGAACAAGCAGGTTAGGAGTGAGCAGGCAGCCGCAAGCAGGCAGGCAAGCGGTTAGGAGCGAGCGGTCCCGGATTGCGAGAGGGCACCTTAAACCCCGCCCCCATGCACAAATTTCGTGCACTGGGCTTCTAGTAATATATATAACAGTACATAGTGTAATATGTATAATAATATAGATATCATATAGACAAACTAATATTATAAACCAAATAAGCTGACCTTTATAGGGAAAATTAATGTTTATTTCAAATAAATTAACTGAGTTACCATACAACCCAGCAATTCTACTCCTAGGTATATACCCAAGAGAAATGAAAACATAAATCCACACAAAAACTTGCATATGAATGTTCATGGTAGCATTATTAATCATAGACCAAAAATGGAAACAATCTAAATTTCCCTCAACTGATAAAATATGGTATGTCTACACAATGGAACTATTCATCAATAAAAAGGAATGAAGTACTGATACATGCAACAACACAGATGAAACTTAAAAACATCATGCTAAGTGAAAGAAGCCAGTCACAAATAGCCACATTTTTATGAAATGTCCAAAATAGGCAAATCAGTAGAAATAATAGATTAGTGGCTGTCAGGGCCCAGGAGAGTATGAGGAATGACTCCTAATGAATACAGGATTTCTTTTGGGGGAGAGGAACATTTTCTAAAATTAGGGGTGATGGTCTCACAACTAAAACTACTGAACTGTACACTTACATGGATGAATTTTATGGCATATAAATTGTATCTCAATAAAGCTGTTATTAAAAAAAAGAAATGAAGACATCAACTGACAAATACAGATGTTGAGAATCTGTCAACTGACCAGTTCATCAGAATGATACCTGAAGGTTATAATAAACTTGTAAATTTTGCCCACTGAGTATGTTGTTGGCTGTGGGTTTGTCATATGGCCTTTATTACATTGAGGTATGTCCCCTCTATTCCCACTTTACTGAGAGTTTTTATCATAAATGGATGCTGGATTTTATCAAATGCATTTTTATGCAATTATTGCTATGATCATGTGGTTTTTATCCTTCATTTTGTTTATGTGGTGTATGTGTTGTTCTGTAGATATTGCATCAACCTAACATCCAAGGAATAAAGCTCATTTAATCATGGTGTATGATTTTTTTTAATGTATTGCTGGATCCAGTTCCCTAATATTTTGTTGAGGACTTCAGCATCTATGTTCATCAGGGATATTGACCTAAAACAGTGATGGCGAACCTTTTGAGCTTGGCGTGTCAGCATTTTGAAAAAAAAACCCTAACTTAACTCTGGTGCCGTGTCACATATAGAAGTTTTTTGATATTTGCAACCATAGTAAAATAAAGACTTATATTTTTGATATTTTATATATTTAAATTCCACTTAACAAAGAAAAATCAACCAAAAAAATGAGTTCGCGTGTCACCTCTGACACGTGTGTCATAGGTTCGCCATCACTGACCTATAACTTTATTTCTTTGTAGTGTCTTTATCTGGTTTTGGAATTAGGATGATACTGGCCTCATAAAATGAGATTGGGAGTCTTCCCTCCTCTGTTTTTTGGAATAGTTGGAGAAGGATAGGTGTTAGTTCTTCTTTTAGTGTTTGGTAAAATTCACCTGTGAAGCCATGCAGTCCAAGACTTTTGTTTGTTGGGAGTTTTTTCTTTTTTTATTATTACTGCTTCAATTTCACTAGTTGTAATCTGTAAATTCAGATTCTCTGATTCTTCCTGATTTAGTTTTGGAAGATTGTGTTTCTAGGAATTTACCCAGTTCTCCCAGATTGTCCAATTTGTTGGCATATAGTTGTCCGTAACATTTTCTTACAATCTTTTGTATTTCTTTGGTGTCAGTTGTTACTTCTCCTTTTTCATTTCTGATTTTATTTATTTGGGTCCTCTATTTTTCTTGATGAGTCAGGTTAAATGTCTATCAATCTTGTTTATCTTTTCAAAGAACCAGTTCTTGGTTTCAGTGATCTTTTGAATTGTTTTTTTAGACTCTATTTCATTTATTTCTGCTCTCATCTTTATTATTTACTTCCTTCTACTCACTTTCCACTGAATGTAAACAGCAGTTATGGTTAAAAAAATAAAAGCAATTTTTGGCTGACTTTTAGCAATACATATAAAGAGATATAATAGTGCTGATATATTCCATGCTAGTCGGACCATGTCTGTTCAACTACATTCTATTCTAAGTCTAGAGAAACTAATGAGTATAGGTCCAGAGGAATGAATATAGAATTGAAAAAGGATCAGAAACAATGTCAGAGACACTTGAAAAAAATGAGGATTGCTTAGAATGGGGGGAAAAAAGACCCAAAGGATATAACTATCTTTAAACAATATGAGGGCCTATCAGAGAAAAGAGAGTAGACTTGTCCTATGTTGCTGCAAAAGACAAAATAGGCCATCACTAAGTGCCTGGGGGGGAGATTAATCTCATCATGAGCTAGAACTAATACAGTTATGTCTGCCTCCTAGGTACTCTCCAACAAATGAACAGATTCAAGTAAATACCAGTCTATCAAGGACTCCTATTTCAGGAAGAATTCCTATAATATGTAGCAGATTGGAGGTGATATTTAAGTTCTCCAATTCTAAAAATGCTATGATTTTTATCTTAATTCAAAATTATATAACACATAAATAAATGCATAAAATTCCAAGGAGTTGATGATTTAATATTTTACCTCATTTTTCTGTAATGGTGGTTTTCCATTTTTCTTACTGCAGAAAAAAAAAAAGAAAGCACTTTATTTGCAAACTATTCCCATCATAAAATTTGTTTTAAAATATCAAAAGAACATACTAAATTCTCCAAAGGTTTCTTCTTTCACATATCATACATAGACTATATTAAGTATAATAGTACAGCTGCATCTTATTAAATACTAGAGGCCCGGCGCACGAAATTCGTGAGCGGGTCCAGTTCCTAGGCCTGGCCTGCTATCAGGGCCATCTTCCCCAGCTACCCACAGCCGGCCCCACCCCCCGCCGCCACCCACCCCCAGTTCCCCGTTCGCCATCAGGTGATCTGTGCCTGACGGCCGGGGGAAGGGACCAAGAGGTGGGCTGTTCCCGCCCGCTCACCAGCCCTGCCCCCGTCGCAGGTGGCCATCAGGTGATAGGAGCCTGCTGGCCAGGGAAAGGGACCAAGAGGTGGTCAGTGCGCCTCATAGTGACTGGTCCAGTGGTCGTTCTGGTCGTTTTGCCATTAGGGTCAATTTTCATATTACCCTTTTATTATCCTATCTAATAAAGAGGGAATATGCAAATTGACCATCACGTCATCACAAAGATGGCGGCACCCAGTCCCCTCAGCCCCGTCAGAATCCCCCAGTCCTTTCAACACAGCAGCGGGGGGGGGGGGGGGGCAGCAGATGCACGGTGCAGCCGGTCCTTCCCTCAGCCCCCCAGCCATCTAGGGCCAGCCTGAGGCACAGGCAAGCCTTGGATGTCGGCTGCCCAGCCAACCAGGGCTGGTCCAAGGTGCTGGCAAGCCTCAGATTGCGGCTTCCCCGCCACCCAGGGCGGGCCCGAGGCGCTGGCAAGCCTCGGATGGCAGCTGCCCAGCTGCCCATGGCCACCCGAGGCTCAGGTAATCAGGGCCAGCCGAGGCTTGCGCTGCTGGCAGTGGCAGCAGCATAGGTGTGATGGGGGCGTCGCCTTCCTCTGAATGCCGGGTCACCTCCTGCTCCTGAGGGCTCCTGGACTGTGAGAGGGGGCAGGCTGGACTGAGGGATCCCCCCTCCAGTGCATGAATTTTCATGCCCTGGGCCTCTAGTATAGTATAGAGGCCTAGTGCATGGGTGAGGGCCAGCTGGCCTGCCATGAAAGGGGCCCCAGATCGGGGTGGGGGTCCCCGATGGGGGGTGGGCCTGCCCGGGCAAGGGGCCATGGGCAGTTTGCAGGCCAGTCACGCCCCCAGCTTTGTCAGGAAGGATGTCTGGAATGACGCCCGGAAGACGTCTGGTCTATCTGGTCTAATTAGCATATTACCCTTTTATTAGTATAAGTCATTTATTGAAAGGGTTTAATATATGTTAACTTCAGATAATATATATCAGATAATATATATTGGTAAATTTATGCACATACACATATATACTTGTTTTTTCAAATTCTCCCATGGAGAGGTGCAATCTATTTTTCCATCCTTGAATCAAGATTTGGCCACATTGCCCTGACCAGTTTGGCTCAGTGGATAGAGCATCGGCCCGCGGACTGAGTGGTCCTGGGTTCGATTCCGGTCAAGGGCATGTACCTTGGTTGCGGGCACATCCCCAGTGGGGGGGTGGGGGGGTACAGGAGGCAGCTGATCGATGTTTCTCTCTCATCGATGTTTCTAACTCTCTATCCCCCTCCCTTCCTCTCTGTAAAAAATCAATAAAGTATATTAAAAAAAAAAAAAAGATTTGGCCACGTAAACTGCTTTGGCTATGGGACATTTGCAAATTGACGCAAGCAAGGCCTGAAAATGTCTGTGCATTGAACACTCTCTCTTGATGCTAGGAACCTTTTCCCAGCCATGTGAACAATCCCAGGTTAGTTACCTACAGGATGAGAGACTATGTGTCATTCCCATGTTACAAATGAAAAAACTGGCTTGGAAAGGAAGAAGTAGTATATCTAAGTTTCATGCTACTCAAAGTAGTTAGTCTGGCACTAACCCAGATCTGACTACTGATCTAAGCCACCACCCTGAACAATATCATGACCAGGCTTAGGTTCTTTTTATAACACACTATCATAGCACCCTATGCTATGATCACATTACAAATTTCTTGTTTAATGTCTATTTCCTCCCAGTACATTAGTTCTATCAGATCAGGAGCTATTGCAGATTGGCTTCTCCACAATATAGATAAGGTGGTGTTTGGGGTACAATATGTTTATTGGGGCTCAACACCTGTGAAAGGAAGATGAAGAAAGCAAGTTTGGGCAGAATTTAAACTGTGATGCAGGCCCAACAAAATTTCACCTAACCAGGTGGGAAGCTGTGATTGGCTGAAATGATCAGGTCTTTATACCTCTTCCTTGCTTAGTGTACAAATGCATGCTGCTCCAAGGAGGTCATGACCTTAGGAAGGTGGCTCTACAGCTAATGCAGATCCTAAAATGTGGGCAGAAAGGGTTACCTGGTCTGCACTTATCACAGCTGGACTAGACCTTCTTGAAGAGGAATCTGAGTAGCATATCTCCACACCTACTATAGGGGTCATATATTACTCAGCCCTCTATTCAACATCTAGTTGAGCTCCAAGAATCTGCAGAATAAACATTTTCAGTAATAGAATACCAGGTCACACTGAACAAGGCTAGAAAGCCAAACTTAACTACAATTCAGTAAGAGTAGATGCTCATATTTTAAAAGTGCTTAGGCTTATTATTTCTAATCTCAACTGTATTACAGGATTATCTATTTTAAAATTTTTATGAGATTGCAAAACTGTTTCAGAAATGCCATATACACATACACATACACACACACACACACACACACACACACACACTCATGCATACTCAGTTAATTATGAGCCCTCTTTTATAAGGCTTTCTAAAAATCCGCTTTTTAAGGAATTCTTTAAATGTTTTCCACAGATGTTCTCAATTTTGAAGATACTAGCTATATAAACATATAAAGATCTCCTAGGATAAATCAGAGCAGTATACTAGAATCCCATTTAATTGGTTATATTGTTTTCACTTGAAATGTTACGCTAAAGACTGGAGCGAATTTAATTCCAGAAACATGATCTACTGATAGGCAGATTCAAGTCTAACAAAAATTCCGTATTTCCCTTTTCTTGATTTTTATCCTATGAAACTAAAAAGGCTCTACAACAAATAGGCATGTCTTCTACCTTTGTGTATTCCTTTTGCCTAACAAAAAAGATCAATTTATCAGCTAAATAGATTAAAATAAAGGTGTTCAAAACATACACATAGTAATGGTAAGATAATTGGACTTCATTAAAATTTTAAAAGTTTGCTCGTGAAAAGATACTATCTAGAAAGTTAAAAGACAAGCTACCAACTAGAAGAAAATATTTGCAAACTATATATACAAGAAATAACTTGTATTCAGAATACATTAAAAAACTCTTACAGTTGAATAAGAAGACAATTCACTTAAGTATTTAAACATTTTTGCCAAAGAAAATGTATGCATGGAAAATAAACACATGAAACATGCTCAAAATAATTAGTTCTTAGAAAAATGCAAATTGAAACCACTATGCATATCTGCTAAAATAGCTAAGATCATAACAAGTGTTATTAAGGATGTGAAGCAACAGGAATCTCCTTCCACAGCTGATGGGACTATAAAATGGTGCAATTAAATTGGAAACAGTGTGGCAGTTTCTTAAAAAGTTAACCCCCTCTATACAACCCTGCCATTCCACTACTAAGTATTTTGCTCAAGGGAAATGAAAGCATATGTTCATACATAGACTTTACATGAATGTTCATAGCAACTTTATTATTAGTAGCTAAAACCTGGAACTAATCCAAATGAGTAAATGGATTAAAAAATTGTGGTATAGCCATAAAACATACTCAACAATTTTACTGGTACACAACATGAATGAATCCCAAAATCATTATGCTGACTAAAATTAGCTAGGCAAAAAAGTATGTAGTGTATGATTTCTCTTATATGAAAATCTAGAGCAGCCCAAACTAACTGTGGTACAGAAAGCAGATCAGTGCTTGCTCCAGGCTGGTGGAAGGGAGGGAACTGACCACAAAGAGATATGAGGGATCTTTGAAGTGACTGTAAATGTTCCTTATTTTAATTACTAGAGGCCTGGTGCACAAATTCATGCATGGGTGGGATCTCTCAGCCAGCCAGGGGGAAGAACCACGGGAGGTTGGCCCCAGCAGCAAGCTAACCAACGGCCGATTCCATGAGGAATTGGGCTCCCTCCTCCGTCCTGTCTGGTCTGGGGTGTGGGTGAACCAGATTCGGGGCTGTCAGGGCTCCAGCAGCAAGGTCTGGGTCAGTGCACGTCATAGCTACTGGCCTCTTGTCTGGTTGTTGCAGTCGCTCAGTCTTAACAGTCGCTTAGGCTTATATATATATATATATATATATATATATATATATATATATATGTATATATATATAGATAGATAGATAGATATAGATATAGATATAGATATAGATATAGATAGTGATGGTTACGTAAGTGTTTACATGTCAAAACTCAAGTTGTTGATTTTAAATATAAGCAGTTTGTTGTATCTTAATAATGCTTCAATAAAGCTATAAAAAATTTTGACCAAAACTTAGTAGACACTTTTTCCTAAGAACATAATAGAATAGTGTATTTTGTTCTTTATTGTTGGAAGGGTAAGGGAAAAGGAGATAAAGTTTACTGTTCCTTAATAATGCCAACAAAACATGCAAAATTAATAAACAGGAACTTCCCCTAAAGATGGACAGAGATAAACTATGAGACTGGGAGGAAAAACTGCAAGGGATTAAAATATAGAATTTTTTAGAGCTTTCAGACTAAGTAAAAAAGAACACAATTCTGAAAACTTTAAATAAAAATTTAATTAACTATAACAATAATTCTAACCCTAAAGCTTTTCTTATTTAGTTCATTTATCTAAACAGTGTATTCTAGACTCAGGGTAATGTATAAACCTCTTCTGAGGGAAAAAAAAAAATCCTACAGACCCTAGCATTGCCTTATATTAAAGTGGTGCTTTCTTAA